CCACTCCTCGGAAGGAAGGTTGGGCAATCCTACTTCTGTAGTGATACTGCCTCAGAAACCCAAGGAGGGGTCGCTATGAGTCGGGGTCGACTCGACGACACATAACAACAACAACAACAATGTTCATAACAACACTGTTGGTAAGAGTCCATATTTGGAAACAACCCAAATGTCTATGTAAAGATATAAGGATAGATCAACTGTGGTATAGTTATGCAATGTAGTACTACACAGCAATGAAATGAACCAATTGCATCCAACACTATGGATGAAATTCAAGGTATAATGAAGCCAGATACAAAGGAGTTCACAGTGTAGAGTTGCATTTAAAGAAAGTATTCTAAACTGGGCAAAACTAATCAATCTACAAAGTTACAAATTGGGCACTATTCTGAATGTATGTTACAGTTTTTTAAACAACAAAACATAACAAATCCACTGCTATCAAATTGATTCCAATTTAAAGAGACCCTATGGGAGCTCTGGTAGCATAGTGGCTAAGTCACTTGCCTGCTAACCAGACGGCTGGCGGTTCAAACCCACCAGCCACTCCTCGGAAGGAAGGTTGGGCAATCCTACTTCCGTAGTGATACTGCCTCGGAAACCCAAGGAGGGGTCGCTATGAGTCGGGGCCGACTCGATGGCACATAACAACAACAACAACAACATAGAATAGAGTAGAACTGCCCCATAGGGTTTCTAAGGCTGTAATCTTTACAGAAGCAGACTGCCAAATCTTTCTTTGTGAGTTGGGTTCTACTCAACAGCAGTGATTTGGTTTTTTGGGTTTTAGTCTTCAAAGAGACATCTTTGTTCTTCAGCACTTTCAAGAGATCTTTTGCAGCAGATTTGCAATATATTGTATGATGTCTTGACTGCTGCTTTCATTGGTGTTGATTGCAGAACCAAGTAATATGAAATCTTTGACAACTTTAATCTTTTCTCCATTTATTGTGATGCTCTTTATTTGTTCAGTTGTGAGGATTTTTGTTTTCTTTATGTTGAGGTGTAATCCATATTGCAGACTGTAGTCTATGATCGCCATCTGTAGTCTTTGATCAGTAAGTGCTTCAAGTCATCTTCACTTTCAGCAAGCAAGGTTGGGTCGTCTGCATATCGCAGGTTGTTAGTGAATTTTCCTCAATGGTTAAAATACTCAGCTACTAACTGAAGGAGTGTAGGTTAAAGTTGATTCATTGTACCTTAGAGGAAAGGTCTGCCAATCTACTTCCAAAAAATCAGCCATTGAATAATCTATGGAGCACAGATCTACTCTGGCACATGAGGTTGTCACAAGTCAAAGTCAACTCAGCTGCAACTGGTAGTAGGTAGATGTCTAATGTAACAAAGTAAATTGATAATAGTGGAATTTTTAAATATCTACAGATTTTATGGGGGCAGAGGAATAATCCTAGCACCCGTTACACTTTTAAATCACTGCCCTTGTATACAGCATTTAATGTAATGAGAAACCTGAGTCTTGGTTACCTGTTACACAATATAATTCTGTTACCATTTTTTTTCAGAATATTCTGAGTCTCGCTAATGAGAGAAATTAAAGAGAATAAAGTGTGACCAAATTAGAAAACAGAACTTCCTGGCTCTTACTTATTCTCACAGATTTTCAAATACTACATTTGTTAAAAATGAATCAAATCCAACTTCAGGCAAGCTCTATTCAAAAAACATGAAAAGGACACTTTTAGAAGCTTCCTGTTCTCTTGGGGAGTAGTCATTTCCCAGTCACCCTTGTAACCACAGAGAAACAGCCCAGACATTGCAATAAAAAGAATTGTAATTCATCAGAATGGGGAAGGATAATGCTCTGGAATGTAGCATAGTGCATAAAGCACTTGACTGCTAACCAGAAGGCAGGTCATTCAAAAACACCAGCCACTCCTCAGAAGGAAGGTTGAGCAATCTACTTCCATACTGATACTGCCTTGGAAACCCAAGGAGGGGTTGCTGTGAGTCAGGTCCCACTTGTTGGCACAGAACAACAACAATACAATGTATAATGAAATTTGAAGTAGTACATAGTACTGAAACATTTTTTCCTAAAGTTTAAATTGTCCTTGAGAAATGCACATATTTAAACATTACTGAGGGGGATTCTTTGAGAAGAAATGTACCTAAATGTTGTTGTTCTTGTTAGGTACCATTGAGTTGTCTACAAATCATAGCGACCCTCTGCACAGCAGAATGAAACACCACCCAGTCCTGATCTAGCTCCATGATTCTTGTTACACTTGAGCCCATTGCCAGCGCCACCGTGTCAATCCACTTCATTGAGGGCCTTCCCCTCCTTTGTTGACCCTCCACCTTACCAAGCATGACATCCTTCTCCAGGGAATGGTCCCTTCTGACAACATGGCCAAAGTAGGTGAAACAAAGTCTGGCCATTCTCACCTCCAAGGAGCATTCTGGCTACACTTCCTCCAGGACAGACCTATGAGTTTTCTTAGCAGTCCACGGTACTTTCAGCACTCTTCGCCAACTTCACAGCTCAAAAGCATCAACTCTTCTTCAGTCTTCCTTATTCGTTGTCCAGATCTCACATGCATATGAGGCAACTCAAAATATCATGGCTTATGTCAGGCGCACTTTAGGCCTCAAGGAGAATCTTTGCTCTTCAGCACATGAAAGAGGTTGTTTGCAGCTGATTTGCCCAGTGCTATACATCGTCTGAAGTCCTGACTGCTGATTCCATTGGCATCAATTGTAGAACCAAGTAATGTGAAGTCTTTGATAATTTCAATCTTTTCTCCATTTATTGTAATGCTGCTTATGGGTCCAGTTGTGAGGATTTTTGTTTTCTTTATATTGAGATGTAATTCATAATGCAGACTGTATTCTTCAATCTTCATCAGTAAATATTTCAAACCATCCTAACTTTCAGCAAGCAAAGTTGTGTCATCAGCATATCGCAGGTTGTTAATGAGTCTTCCTCCAATCCTGATGCCACATTCTTCTTCATATAGTCCAGCTTCTTGGATTATTTGCTCAGCATACAGATTGAATAAGTATGGGGAAAGGATACAGCCTTGACACACTTCCTTCTTGATTTTAAACCATGGAGTGTTCCCTTTTTCTGTTTGAATGACAGCCTCCTGGTGTACGTACAGGTTTCTTATGAGCACAATTAAGTGTTCTGGAATTTCCATTCTTCTCAATGTTATCCACAATTTGCTATGATCCACACAATCAATTGCTTTTGCATAGTCAATAAAACACAAGTAAATATCTGTCTGGTATTCTTTGCATTGAACCAAGATACATCTGACATTAGCAATGATATCTCTTATTCTTCATCCTCTTCTGAATCCAGCCTGCATTTCTGGAAGTTCTCTGTCAATATAGTGCTGCAACCATTTTTGAATTACCTTCAATAACATTTTACTTGCATGAGATATTGATACTGTTCGATAATTTCCACATTCTGTGGGATCATCTTTCTTTGGAATGGGTACAAATATAGATCTCTTCCAGTCAGTTGGCCAGGTAGCAGTCTTCCAAATCTCTTGGCATAACTGAGTGAGTGCCTCCAGCGGGACATCCATTTGTTGAAACATCTGGAGCCTTGTTCCTCACCAGTTCCCAAAGTGCAGCTTCAACCTCTTCCCTCAGTACCATTGGTTCTTGAACATATGCCACCTCCTGAAATGGATGAAGATTGACCAGTTCTTTTTGGTACAGTGACTCTGTGTATTCCTTCCATTTTCTTTTGATGCTCCCAGTATCATTCAATATTTTGCCCATAGAATCTTTCAATATTGGAACTCGAGGCTTAATTTTTTCCCTCAGTTCTTTCAGCTTGAGAAATGCCAAGCCTGTTCTTCCCTTTTGGTTTTATAACTCCAAGTCTTTGCACATTTCATTATAGTAATTGGCTTTGTCTGCTCAAGCTGCTCTTTGAAATCTTCTGTTCAGCTCTTTTATCTTGTCATTTCTTCCATTTGCTTTAGCTACTCTGCACTCAAGGGCAAGTTTCAGAGTCTCTTCTGACATCCATACTGGTCTTTTCTTTCTGTCTCGTATTTTTAATGACCTCTTGCTTTCTTCTTGGATGATGTTCTTGATGTCATCCCACAATGCTTCTGGTTTTCAGGCATTGGTGTTCAATGCATCAAATCTATTCTTTAGATCATCTCTAAATTCAGGAGGGATATATTCAAGATCATATTTTGGCTCTCATAGACTTGTTTTAATCGTCTTCAACTTCAAGCTGAACTTGCACATGAGCAGTTGATGGTCTGTTCCACAAGCAGCTCCTGGCCTGATTTTGGCTGAAGATATTGAGCTTTTCCATCTCCTCTTGCCACAGAAGTAGTCAATCTGATTCCTGTGTATTCCATCTGGCGATGTCCATGTGTATAGCTGCTGTTTGTGTTGTTGAAAAAAGGTATTTGCAATGAGTAAGTCGTTGGTCTTGCAAAATTCTATCATGCCATCTCCAGCGTTATTTCTGTCACCAAGGACAAATTTTCCAACTACTGGTGATTCTTCTGTTTCCAACTTTTGCATTCCAATCACCAGTGATAAGCAACACATCTTGATTGCATGTTCGGTCAACTTCAGACTGCAGAAGTTGAAAAAAATCTTCAATTTCCTCATCTTTGGCTTTGGTGGTTGGTACATAAATTTGAATAATAGTTGTATTAACTGGTCTTCCTTGTGTTGTTGTTAGGTGCCATAGAGTCAGTTTCCAACTCATAGCGACCCCATGCACAGCAGAATGAAACACTGCCCGACCCTGTGCCAGCTGCATGATCCCTGCTATACTTGAGCCCATCATTGCAGCCACCATGTCAATCCATCTCGTTGAAGGCCTCCCCCTCTTTTGTCGACCCTCCAGCCTACCAAGCATGACATCCTTCTCCAGGGAATAGTCCCTTCTGACAACATGACCAAAATAGGTGAGATGAAGTTTGGCCATTCTCGCTTCCAAGGAGCATTTCGGGTGCACTTCCTCCAG